ATAATCGAGACGTGCATTTGACTCGGAGTTTGTATCCCGATTGAAACCCTCGAAGCCATGAAGCTTTTACCCTGTCCTTGGTCATGGGTTCCAGGCTGCCAGTCGCCCTTGCTCATCTTCTACGGTCATGATCAGTCTACATTCAGTGGTATGGGTTCAGACGGTGGTGCTTCCTGCTCTCGGCTTCAGCGTCCCAGTCTGATGCCTGTTGTCTCATGCCAGCAGCATGCAGTCACTTTGCCACTGCGGGCAGCCATAGGCTGCCTATGTTACTCTCGCTTCAGCCCAGACTCATCTGTCTCTTTCTCCGACTGAGTTTGGCAGATGCAAACTATCTCTCTCCCTGTCCTCCACGACTCATAACATGTCTCTCTGCCTTTCAAATGTATAATGAATAAATCTTATTTTATAAAAAAAAATAAAAAGACTCCTGGGTGGGTGGGTGGGTGGGTTACAGATCTGAATGAAGTGACCGTCATTTGCAGCCAGTAATGGAAGTGTTACGAAACTCAATATACAAGCACTCAACACACAGAAGGGGGCCAGGGCCTGAGGGGTGCAGGCTCTGCGTTCTCCCCACCAGGGACCACCTGCCGCCTCCAGACTGCCCCTTCCAGCAGAGGGTGCTGGGCCCCGTGCCCCGCAGTCCAGCTCCACCCAAGGGCTCTGGGATGCCACCGAGAGGGCCCAGGGGATGCCTGGGGTCTAGGTCTGTGCTGCACATCTTTGTGCAAACAGCGTCACACAGGCCCGCGCCTGGCCCCAGGGTACGGACGTTCACCAGGACGGGTGGGCCAACTCATCAGTCACCAGGCAGGTGGGAGGTGTGTCTTCAGCACGCCCCCCTCCCTGCCTATCAGAGTTGAGATAGAGCTTGGGGGAACAGCAAGATGGCAATGTCTACAAAGAGGCGCCCTGCAGGGCAGGCCACATGAGGCGGGCAGCTCCCAAACCAGGCCCAGGTGTCCAACTTGGGGCCGCCTTCTACCCCTTGATCAAAGGGGCGGGGCGTCAGAGCCAAGGGTCTTCGCCAAGACCGCTGGGACTCCCTGAGGATCTTGAGCCAGAGACCCTCCTCAGAACCCCCCATGCCCCCTGAGCCTCTCAGAGGGCCTGTGACTGGCCATCGCCCAGCTGTCCTATCTGGCTGGCCAGGGGCTGCGCTGCACCTGCCCGAGGGGTGGCCAGGTTGGGTGACGGGGCCCCTCCTTCACCAGCTGGAGTGGTGAGAGCCAGGAGCCACTCTGCTCAGGGCCATGGGGCCTGGCCCTGCGGGGTGGATGGAGGTGAAGGGCTCCAGGAATGTGGCTGGAATCTGCATGCTGGCCCCTCGTCCTCACCCAGCCCCAGCTGCCAAGTTTGGGCCTGTCTCCCGTCCTTGCCTTTTTTGGAGCTCCAGGTGATAAGGCTGAGACATAAAGGGGGCTGGGCCCTGTGGCAGGAAGCAGCCAGGCTGTGCATCAGGATGGTGAGTCCAGGGTAGAGCCAGGGAGCCCTGTGTTGGGCCCAGGGGTGTGTGTGGTGGTGGTGGGGGTTCTCCTGGGAGTGTGTGCGGGGCAAGGGGGGACTTTGCGGAGCTGGGGAGGGGACCCCTCCCCACCCATGGTGTTGCAGGCCAGCAGGAAGGCAGGGACCCGGGGCAAGGCCGCAGCCACCAAGCAGGCCCATCGCGGCTCCTCCAATGTCTTCTCCATGTTTGAGCAAGCTCAGATCCAGGAGTTCAAGGAAGTGAGTGTCCGCCCCTCCCGGTGGCAACACCGCCAGCATCCTCAGCCCCGACTGGGCGCCCTTACCTCCGCCATACATGCCCCCTGATCTGTGCCCCCCCAGCCTCTCCCCTTCCCCCTCCCCTGGGCTGGTGCCCCGAAGCAGCTGCCCATCCCCCTTCCCAGGGATGAGTGGCACCCAAGCCTTTTCTTATTTAATTTTAATGGATG